CTGTTGCATACCGTATAGGTGCAGACCAGAACAAGAACCGACCTTTCAATACAAGGTATAAGATAGCACAGCGGAAGACTTAGATACCAGTGATCCGAACAATCAATGTTGTAATGCAGCCCTGAACATACATCATCATCATCGTTTCATAGTGTGAATGGGTCTGGCGCTTCACACAGGAAGACAGCGCCAGCCCAGAACATAAACAGACGAGGAGGAAGGGGATAGACGAAGAGGAGGGGGAAGATGGGAATGTCGTCAACACCAAGTCTTCGGCACAAGCCCGAATAGTCCCTCGTCGAACTGTCTGAATCCCAAATGTCAAGTCTGGATCCAATGTCGTCAAGTCTCAAGTCACAACTCTGTCTCTCTCTGTCGTAGTCTGAGAAGTCAGGTGGCGAGAGGGTGAGAAGAGAAGGTGGACTTAGAAGAGGAAGAAGAAGAACTCTCTCTCTCTCTCTGTGTCCAGTACTAACCTGTGAAGTTGGCGCCTTGATGCAGGTACCACGRAGATGGAGCTGRAGCGAYGGCGCCACAGGTAAGYAACACTGGCCTCCGCCAGTCTCTCTCCCACTCTACGATCKACTACCTACCAGCGCCCAGCGCTGAAGACTACAGCTACAGCTATGGCGCCCAGCGCCGAAGACTACAGCTAGCGCTACCACTACTGCCTAGCGCTACCACTACTGCCTAGCGCTGAAGACTACTGCAGCGCTCCTCCTGAGTGCTGCGGCCGAATCCTGAAGACTACTTCCTACTGACACTCCCTCTCCCGTGAAGTGCATGGGAACCTCCTATGTACTACGGGTGTGCCTCTTGAGCCTGCCGAAGGGAGGCAGGGGCTGCAGCTGCAGCTCCTGCTCGAGTGCGTGAGGAACAGGCTATTTTGGGCCTGTTCCGCATCCCTGTTTCCGTGCCTGAGTCTTAGGAGCAGGTCGAAACAATGAGGGCCTGAAAATGGCCCTCCGTTTCAGGCTGAAAACTCTGGGTCTGAAAAGACCCAGAAATAGGCTGAAACGAGGTAGGGCCCGCAGGCCCTCGTTTTTCAGCATCCAGGCTGAAATGAACGGGGCCTGTAAGCCCTAAGTTTTAGGCTTTTAGGCTGAATGTCCGGGACGGGCCCTGTAGGGCCCGTGTGGCTATGCAGTATGCCACATAGCTCTACCGGTCAACCAGTGGTTGCATATCAGAAGAAGCAAGAATGACCCTAACAGTTCAGATTTATGCGCGGTATGCTCAGAAAATGAACCAGAAGATATGCTACATTGCCTGATACGTTGTAGAGAGGCGACCGGATACTGGGCGAGGGCCTCGGATCTCTGGGATTCCCTCTTCTTGTCTCCCCTCCCTGAACATCCTATCCAACTCCTTCTATGGACTAACATCCCAGGTCAATTCCACAAGACAGAGAAAACGTGGTTTGGAATGATCAGAAAGGTAACGTTGTGGTCCATCTGGAAGGAAAGGTGCTGTAGAACCATCAAGGGACTCTCGACTCCAAGGGACAAGGTATGGGCGGAGACAAAGACTTTGATTCAGGCGGAGATCCTTTGTAAGTGGCACAAGACGAGAAAGTCCATGCCAGATGACGAAGAGCAACAGAGAAGAATCAAGGCAAAATTCACTAAGGTGTGGCTTGCAAGGGGCAAAGTGGCAGAGATAAATGACTTCCACATACGATGGAAAGACTGGCACAACTCAGAAGCAGGGGTGGAGAAGGCAGAGATCCCAGCCAGCAGAAGGACAACATCCATCACAGGTCACATAATATTGGAGGGCGAATCCCAAGACTGCAACTTCCGTAGCTTCTCTTACCTTTCTTGCTCTTCATTATTTATCTGCCAGGCTGATGTACTGGACCTGAGAGGAATGGTGTAAGTAAGGCAAACTGACAGTCAATCCTCCTAGATGCGGGAGTAATCAATGCTGGTCAGGGTTCCTTCGGCCGGACGGAAGGAAGCGTGAATGTGTGCCATGATGTAATATTTTTTTCTGACTTGCCAGTGGAATAGGAACCGGACTGATGCTCCCCAGAATGGAAATGGAGCCAGGGCCTGTTAGAAAARAAAAAAAAAAAAAAAAAAAAAAAGCATAATCTTGCCTCCAAGTTCCAACAWCAATACAACAACAATGCAGTGGGCCTACTCAGGTATGTCTGCCCTAATCTACTCCCCACTACCTCTATACATGCTAGCCTCCACCACCTATCTGACTGTCCACATGGCATTCGCCCAATACTGCTCGAAAACTCTGCGCATACAGGCTTCCTCCGCGAACACCAGGTAAGGACCGATAGGCTCACTGCCTTCCTTCTTCCCCGTCCTGCACACCTTGCCACCCAGCTTCCTTGTACCCAGCTATGGCTGCGCTCGTCTCACAGCCACCGCAGCTGCTCTACCTTCGGGTGCTGCTCTCCCCAGACTAACATCGAACAGCACTTCCGCCTTGCGGCAAATGCCCAATGTGTCTGGGCTGGCCGCCTGCTCTCTTTCATTGCGGAGTGGTGGCCACGTGCATGCCCAGTAGGCAGTGCCTCAGGCCTACTAGAGCTGCACTCAGGTCCAAGCCTCTGTTACTAACTCGGAGGTTGGGCCTACTGGATAGTTACAGGAGCTGCCCTGTGGCCAGACACAAAGGGGCCCCTCTGGTCAGCCTTCACTTAAGGCCAACGCCAAAATACCTGGCCTACCTTCACTGTCAGGGCCTCTTTGCAGCAGCAGAGGGGTATAGATCCTCACATTTCCTCCCCCTAAGGTTCGAAAGTCCTCTGAGAACCCATTCATTCTTCTTGTTGCGTTCCTTTCAGAGCCCTTTCGTACCGAGGAGCAGTCTTCATCAGTTCCTCCCTTGTGAACCACCGATCCTCCTTGGGATCCCAATGATGTTTGAAGACCACCGAATACTGCATTTGTTACTTCGGTGGTCTTCCCTTTCCTGGACGCTTTGGCGTAGGCATCTCCTTATGTTCCACGATGCCGTTGATGTGGATGTGTCCATCCATGGTAGGCGGCAGCATTGATCGTTGAAAAGGAAATTGATCAGTTTAGGCAAAGGGTGGGAGTTTGGAAGCATGGAAAAAGGATAAGTATGGAGATGACGAGGGACATCTACAGCATAGCATGGGCCACCAGGACCATTCCCTATTATATCTAAGCTAGGCCCAGGACAAAACTACCGTGGCATCAGTTTGGGGGAATGTCCTGTTCTGGTGTGAACTCCGATGACTTTACCCATACTCTATCACCCACATACAATGTCGGCCTCTGTCTACGCTGATTTTCGGATGCTATCATCACCCTCTGAGCTTTCTGCAGCTGTTCTACATTCTCTAGCAGCATCCTTTTATAATCAAGAGCGCACTCCATACTATGAAACAATAGCCCTTGAGACGTTGTCTGCGCACCTCATAGCGCTCTGCAACCCGATGCCTAAGTCATTCCAGTTTGCCTGTAGTACCCTCCTGTTGCCCAACGGTACAACTCAAATGCCAAGTCTGCAACCAAAGCCCGCCTGTTGTCTCTGTATGCGTGGTGGAATGCGTGCAAGAACTCCTTCGAACGTTCGATTTGTCAGACAGACATAGGGCTGGAAATCTTTATCCTCCTCATCTATGTCCTGTAGCTCCTTTCATGCGCCCTGCCCACATTTCCTCACACGGAATCGGCGCACCCCAACCCCCTCCACCATGTTCACCAGACGTCCAGTAGATACTCGGTAACTTATTAGGAGCACCCCCAACACATGGAAGGCAGCGTCTCCCCCCCCAACAACATCACATGGAACATTTACTGCAAGCTCTATGGCTGATAGTGAAGTCGGCTTCATCAAATGCAGCCAACATGCTGTAGCCGCAAGTGCAAAGCAAATTGGCATCTTCTCACAACAAATTTGTTGTGGCCATCGGGCTGTGTGCCCAGCTACGATTACCACAACACCTTGCAACCCTACCAAGACATGCTCCGATCTCATGTTTCAAAATTTGAATTGGAAGCTTCAAAAGGCGCTTCGGCGGGGGTTCAGGTGTCCTACCAAAAATTTGCCATCGCCCAGTCACTGTAGGAGGCCGCATGGAAAACGTCTGGACGGACACTTTGCAGACCTTCGTCTCCTTTTCTGAAGAAACACCCATCCCTTCTTCCCGCTGCAAAAGCCGCAGCAGGCCCATAATAGACAAAAATGGTGGGCCCAGTTTCACTACGAAGGGTCAGTCAATTTCGGCCTGACTTCCAAGCTTCTATTAGCACTTCTACGGTTTGTAATGGTGTGATATCCGACCATTATTTGTGTTTTCTTTTTCCCTGCTTTTGTTTTCATAAAGGTGACGGCCTTGAGATATCATCATCAGAGTGACTGGCCTAATTCAGAACTGTTGGATTGGAAATTGAAATCGATTCCACTCATCTGGTTCCATCAGGATTGGAACCTGGGTCTGTATTTCAACAGTTCAGGGGTGTACCAACTGAGCTACGCTCATCGGTGCAACCATTATTTGCTGATTTTAGTGGAGCAGTGATTTGTGTGTGGTTCTGCAGTAACCTGCATGCAGCTTGGGATGCGAGAAGACCTGCCAACGAGAGGGGTGTTGATGGAGTGCTCGTCATGAGAGGACGCTACTGTCTTCCCCCGAATACAACATACGGTCATTATTCGTGTATCTGGGCTTAAAGTTGTCCCAAATACAGGCATAATGACCGTACGTTCTATTCGGGGGAAGAAGGTAAATGGCTAATGCACAGGTGCAAGCCCATGTCAACCAAACACTTGTGTGTGTGCTTTAAAAACAGAAACAAAAAACGTGTGTAATCTGTGATCAATAATGCCTACACAAGTGCTTATTGTGGATCGAGTTTTCCTCAATAGTTTTGTTTTTTGTAGTTCAGCCTGAAGGTAGATGGCTAATGCACAGGTGCAATCCCATGTCAACCAAACACTTGTGTGTATGCTTTAAAAACAAAAACAAAAAACGTGTGTAATCTGTGATCAATAATGCCTACACAAGTGCTTATTGTAGATCGAGTTTTCCTCAATAGTTTTGCTTTTTGTAGTCCAGCCTTCAGAAGTTCAGATTGGCTATGACTGTGTTTTTTATTTTCTCTTTTAAAGTCTTCTTCTTTTTCTTTTTCTTTTTCTTTTTGTGTGGCCTCACTCTCAAATGTCGCCAAATTGCCTTGTTCGTAGTTGGGCCACAAACCTCCTTTCTTGTAAGGGACGCCAGGCCCACTTCCTGGCTTGTATAAATTTGGAGGAGTGCTTTGGGGAAAAAAAAGGATTTCCCCCCCCCTTTCCTTTCTTGTTCTTCGTAACTTCCATCTTGATGCCAAGGGGCATGAATCAAGATCGCTGAGTTTTTGCAGACAAACGCACTTGCCAGGAACTTGCCTTTTTTTGCTGCTACCCTTCCTCACCTGAATAGAACGCCCGGTCATTATAACTGTATTCGAGCCATGTGTTTGTCTAGATACGGCAATCATGACCAGGTGTTCCATTCAGGTGGAGCCTAAGGGTAGGGAGGCTAAGTCCCCGCTGGTGCTATTTTTGTGCTCAGAATAGCATGAACCTGGTCATTATCACATTCATATGTTTGTGCTTAGCGGCATGAGCATAGCACCAGTGCAGCCAGTGTTTGAGAAAAAAACAAAAACAAGAAGTGCAGCCAGTGTTTGGAAAAACAAAAACAAAACGTGTGGCCGGAATAGGTCTATACCTTCTCAAAATCTTGGGGCAGTGCCTCAATAGGAATGGAAGAAACCTGGAACAGATTGCAAGAAAAAGCATTCAGAATTTCAGAAACATTTCAGATTGACACTTGGCTTTAATTTTCTGTTCGAGTTACGACGACAAATGATATTTCACAATGAGCTACAACAGCAAAGAGAAAACATACCCCCAAAGGTCGCCACCTTGAGCGCCTACTCACATGAGGGCTTCCTTGGATGTATATGTATATGACCGCAATTGCATCCAGAGCTCAGTGGAAAAAGCCCTCGCATGAGTCATGGCCTCACGCGAATACCTTTTGCCGAAAAAAGTCAGCAACAACTGGTGACTGGGAAAAAAGGACACCTCATCCACATTTTAACGTGCCAATCGCTGAAACACTAATGCAGACCCACAGATGTACAGAATTTCCGCACAGATTTCTGTGGAGGAGATTTCTAGATTCAGTGGAGATGCTTAAGATTGTGCCAATATTATTTAGATTCTCAACAAGAAAGCAAACCCACCCAATTTGTTAGATTCTCAAAATCTCAACAAGGCCAAGAGATCAGGTAGCTTCCAACAGACTCCAAACGGTGAACAGCTTTGACGGTTTGACCGATCCAGACACCACCTGCATGCAACTTAAGAAAAGCAACGTTGTCACGCGAGCGCCATCGGTTAGTGCTATTTTTTTTAGCACTTTTTTTTCCCCCTCCGCAGCCTAGCAGCTCTCGTTGACCCGTCGGCCCTCCGGGCCAACCGGGCGCAAGGCGCGAACGAAGCAGCTTCGGCAAATCGCACGAGAGAGATTTCGGCAAGTTTGGGCGGTAAGAGACGCGAGAGAGCCACGCCTTCGGGCGTGGCAAACGAAAAACCATAGCCGCTCCATCATCATCACGAACGAAAACGCCAAGAGGTCAGCAGAGTACGACAACCAAGTGAGAAGAGAGGGAACAGGAAGAACAAACAGGGGAAGGAAAAACACGGGAGAGGCGTCTAACAATAGTAAGTTTTGACAAAGGAAGAGTAGTAGCGGGGGAAGAAGGAGACAAAAGAAGGATTTACCTGTTCTGGGAAACGCCGGATACAACCAGGAGGGAGAGGGGGAGAGCGAGAACGTTCCAACGGAATAGAAGGGACCACCCACGGTAATGCACGACAGACAAGAGTGAGGGAAGAGACAAGACGGAAGAACAGAAGTCGGAACTACAAGGGCGCGGCATCTATCATTAGCAAGAACTCGAGAAGGCAGCAGAGTAATGGGGAAGTAAAAAGCGGCAAAAGAAGGTATTTCCGAAATTGGGAGAAGGCGAATACAGCCAAGAGACGCGTTTGAAGTGGCGAGGAACGAGGAAAGTAGAGGAGGTCAAGACAAAGAAAAAGGAAGGGAAGGAATGATGATTTAGGGAAAAGTTAAGTACAGGGGGAGGGAGAGATCGACTAAGCGGACAAGAGGATTCCACACAGGGCAACAAGCCGCACAGGAAGAGCGGCAACAGAAGTGAGAAAGGGTTCGACTCCTCCATAGAAACTCCAAAGATCATCATCGAAGGTGAAACCCCAACCAAGTTACCCTCAAATGAGAAAGGTAAGTCCAAACTACAAAGCTACCCCTAGTCCTCTGATTGAATCTCCCGTAACCCTGCAATCTTCCGTTGTCACAAGCGGATCTCTTACAGAACGCTGTCCTGCATAATCCTCCAGGTTACGTCTCAAAAGGCAATGAGATTTCCATCTAGGTGAAACTTTTGAGTCGCTTGCCAGCAGAAATCAGACGCAGGAAAGAAGGAGATCGAAATCTCTCCACCGCTGAATGGCATTTCCATCCGTTGGGAAGGGTCGGAAACGAGACAGGGAAAAAAAAGTAAGGAGCGGAGGCGACGATCATAGGGACCCGCAGAAATTTGGGGAACAGACAAGGAAGGGAAGGGCACTCGAGTGAAGGGCGTGTATGTACTGGAGAGCGTCGAGAGAAACAAACAACAAGAGGAACGTACAAGGAAAGGGGAAGGGCATCCAGTGGACACAGAGATCCTAGAGGGGAAAGAGACGCAAACAAAGGAACGGAGGCGTGAGCGGAGGTGTGAGAGAGAGAAGACAGGAAAGGGGCGAGAATATCAAGGAGAGTGGACACGACGTGAGAAAGGAGACAGGTCCGAAAAAGATCGATGAATAGAATATTATTTATTCTTTATTAATTTCAGTATAATTATGATCAATATTCTACAACATTTATTTTCAACATTATTTACTCTATAATATTCTTTGTCGTCATTAATTCGGGCCACATTAACCTTTAAATTCCACCGTCTCCTTAATCTGATCTCTTCCGCAAAGCCGATCCCCAAGTGGGGAGGCTAACCCCTGAAAAATTTTGTCAAATTCTAGGACCAATCCGCTCCCGTTGGTTGGCATCCCACCGCCATCGCTTTCGGTTGCAGCAATCCTTTAAATCCCGCCGTCTCCTTAATCTGATCTCTTCACCAAAGTCAATCCCCATGTGGGGAGGCTAACCCCTGTCAATTTGTAGCCAAATTCCAGGCCCAATCCGCTCCCATTGGTTGGCATCCCACCTCCATCGCTTTTGGTTATAGCAATTCCTTGGTACATCGATCCGTTTCCACCTTGCCAGGCCCCCAAACGTATCCCTTTTCCCCCTCCACCCTCCCGCCGCCCCCCAAAAAAAGTCGATCCCCAAGT